TTCTTCTTTTACCAGGAAGTTTTCCACCTGACTGATGTGGACAAAACTGGAACGCTGTCACTGAGCGAGCTGAGGAATGCATTCATAGCTTCAGGTACATTTTAGCTTGAATACAACTAAAAGAAATCCACTCAAAAACATTTAAATTTCATCTGATAAGCACTAACAGAGGTGCAGAAGTGCACCAACAAAGGCCTTTTGGAGATCGATCTTTTCTTAAATGAGCTGTGAAACTGGAAAATCTCTCTGCAAGATGTGAACATACAAGACTCGGGTACATTTCCGTCCAAACTGGAAGCAAAAATTCAAACATTAATCCTGAAATTCCCAACCTGCACCTGTGGGTGACAGAAACAAAATGGACACATGAAGTTTACCAGCAGCAAGATTTGGACACTGATAACTAAATGTAGGAGGAAAAAGTAAACATGGCTTCAATATTGGTGTGAAAAAAGTGAAAATGAGCATGCATGCTGTAAATCACATCATCGCCATTAAAAAAGTTAAAAAAATAAAAGTATTTTTGTAAACTTGAAAAACTTTTACACGTAAATGAGTGGGGCAAACACTGCAGGAAAGGTTTGTCCTGCAAAATAGCCATTTAAATGTGAACGAGGTTGTAGATTATTAACACGATTTGCCTTATGGCTGCTGTAAGCAATTACAAAGATACATGTAAACAATGTTTGATGAAGATATTTGATCTTTTGATGCATGCTCAATTATCCAGAGAGAAAAATCTAAAAAAGTCATCAGGTCCTCTGGACGGATTCTTCTTCTTGAAATGTTTCGCAGGAGTTTCAGAGAAACTGAGACGTGTATTTTCTAACCATGACGCTTTCAAAGCTCAAAATACATTACGGCAAAGACTGGTCCATCCCAAAGATCCAGTCCCCCGACACAAACAAAGTAAAAGAGATAAAAGGGATGAAGATGTTCACTTCCTTGATAGAGAGGAACGTTGGTTTGATAGAAGAGTGAAGGAGGCCATCTTTGTGAAGAGAAACAATCCATCATTAAACATGGGTGGAGGCCTTTGTGTCTCCCTCTTACAATGCTGCTATTGCTAGTGTAGCGTCCATACCACGTGGCTAAAGAGTTAACCAATAGGTTAGATTGAAGTGTAGTACATTGGTCGGGGCCCTGGGAATGTTACTTTAAAGATAGCTGTACTAACAGCTTTCATGAGATACAACTTCCTGTTTATTTTTTATTTAATGGTGATGCCTCCACTAAGCAGGGAATTATGACTTTACACTTTGTTTAACCCACTAAGAATTGAATTTGCTTCACATATAAAATAAAACAGAACAATGTTTTAAGTGAAAAAAACCAAAGCAAAACAGGTAAGTCTTTTCAAACATAAATCTCGACCCCAAAATAAGCAGGCCTGAATCGATGCTTGGGTGCGTGGGAGCTAAAAACAAACAGCTCGTTCGTTCACCGAGTAAATAAAATAAAAAGCATGTGCATTGGTTTAATTATATACTCACAAATCCTTCAAAGTTTGAGACTGGATCGGGAGATGCGGAGATGCGGAGATCCCTTTAATATGGCACTGAGTCAAGTAAGTAGGCAGGTGATGTCACACCAACACCGAAGTCCTTCCCGGCAGCAACCTCAATGTTGGGAACCCAACAGCTGAATGGTGAAACTTCTAACTCGTCCAGCAGGTCCAAAGATTAGCTCGTGGTCCACTGTACACATTACCAGCTCTCAGTCCTTAGTAAAACACACTGGCTTCTCATATGGAGCCATTAAAAGCTTAACCAGCCACTAATGTTAGGATTTACATTTCGGTATACAATGCTGCTACATCGCGCTAGCATGCTTAAAGGCTAATTGCACTTAGCATGGTTTTCATCAACACACTGCGTCATTCTGAAACAGAATAAAACATATAGACAAATGTATTTACCTTTCATATGCTTCTTAAAGTCAGTTACAGTTGACAACTCTGCATTAACCGTTGTAATGGACAGCATACTCTATTATTGCCCCACGTCTGTCGCTGTGCACTCTGCCTTGTCTGGTTTTCACAGTGACCCACGTTTCATGCAGCGTACCATTAATCCCACCCACTCCCATCTGATTGGGCAAAATAAAATGCTTAATCCAATACAAAACAAAACTGAGAAAGACTGACAGCACAACACAAAGAGTAGGTTGTAAATCCGCCATGTGGCACCATTCCTCAAACAAACTTTTATGTGACCTTCAAGGAACATACAGTAGTAAAAATGACAACTGCCTGTTTTAGTTTGCTTAAACTAGATTTTCTTGACCAAATATGAACTGTTTTTAAAATTATACATTTTTTTAAATGACAAAAAAATAGATTTTATCTTTCATATTTATTCCAATTTTATCACTTAGACATTGTTTTTTAAACTTAAATGATACTACTATGAACTTAGTTTAATACTTTATTTTGTACTACATATATAGCACAGTGCAAACTAGGCTACACTAGTATCACTCAGCCCCTTGTGAAGAGCAAGTGGCCATCAGGGCACTAACAATCAGTTGTTAGGCTGATGATCTTCTATCACAGGGGTGTCAAACCCACTTACAAAAGGGGGCCAAAATTAAAACTTTTTTCAAACTAAGGGCCAGTTTCAGAATCTACATGAACTCAAGTTAGATACCCAACATCTTTTCTTGGTTGCAGGTTCCTCAAGAGTTTGTTTGGTCTCATTTTACATTTTCTTTTGCATTTTTTACATCGCAATTAAAGATTACTGAAAAAAAAAAGTGATAAAAGTATTTTACATTTAAAATAACATCTTGGGGGCCAGATAAGATGTTATGGAGGGCCACATTTGGCCCCCGGGCCTTGAGTTTGACACATAAACTCTATCATGTGAACAAATAGTTTTGGCTGTCACCAGCAAACTGGTTGATCCACTATGAGAAGGTGCTATTTATAAGAATGAGTTTGTTGCAGCTCCTCAGACTGACAAACTCTTTTGGATAAAAGATGAAACGTTTCAATTAGAAAAATCCATCCAGAGGACCCGACTCAAGTATTTAGATATTTGATCCTCCTTTGTCTGTCAGGAGACGATCATGTCCAATCAACTGATGTCCAAACAAACTAAAATCTTTTTAAACCTCAGGTTGTGGAAGTTAAGATTAATCTAGGTTTAAACATTTCAACAGTTAAACTGAGGTTATTGAAGGCCTTAAATTAATGTACCACATGAATGCGTTCACAAATTTCTGAAATGTAAAAAAAAAAAGAAATTCTTTTAATTTGTGTTTTCTCAGAATTAAAAGTCAGCGATGAGATGCTGAACCTCATGGCTCTGCGTTACGGTGCCTCCTCAGGTCACATGACCCTGGAGAGCTTCATCAGCCTCATCCTCCGTCTGGACTGCATGCTGAGTGAGTGCAGACCCCAACTGGGTCTGATTAAAGGACCCCCCCATCTTTAGATGAAGGTTCAGTCTCAAAACTTCACATCATCTGCTCTGTGTCCACAGAAATCTTCAGACAGCTGTGTGATGGAAAGGCCATGAAGCTCGTGGAGTCTGAGGTGATTAAAGCTTCTTATTGTTTATTTTTAGTACGCTTTTCCTCCTTTTTACTTATTTTAGTGCATTTGCACAAATTCCAACTCAAGAAGGAATATTTAAATAATTACACTTGGAAAATTAATGAATGATAATGTAGATTCATTAACAAATAATCTTTCACAATTTGTACATTTCAGATGAACATACCACACTTTCTTTTTAGAATTATTTGCTCATTATGAATTTAAATTATTTTATTTTTATCATATATAGCATTTAACATTTCAGTACCGATTGTCTAATTTTGACTTGAATGTCATTTTAAAGTTAGATTTAGACAACATAAAAATGTAATTATAATATTTGAGTTGCATTCTTTAATTTAAAGCTTTTTTGTTTGTTTATTTCTAGTGGTTGTGCATTTCGATGTACACGTGAACCAGCAGGAAGACGAGCCATGAGGAGAAGATAAAAAAAATAAATCTAAAGTTTTTGCACAAACACATGTAAACAGAATAAATATTGTCGTACCTTTTGCCTTATTTTTGGTATTTTTTTCTCAGTCTTGTTGACTATTTTTATCTTTATTAATGAACTTATTTTAATAAATGCATTCTTAAATACAGTCATTTATCATTTTTACCACATTCACATATTTGATGGTGAATATGTGGGGGAAAAAAATCGAACACGCACAAGAATTTGATGTGCAATAGTGAATATTTATTGATTCTTTGAATATTTATTGATTCGGTGAACATTTAATGATCCAGAGAAAAGAAAAACAGATTAAGATTATGCATAATATACTAGGAAGTAAATTCAAAAGGTTTTTTTTTTTTAATATGCACTTCGATGTTTAACATATTCAATTAAATAATAACATAACTTTTAAGATGAATACACTTTAAACAGTTTAATTTATACTGAAACCTGAAAATAATTTAGTTAACAGCAAAGTTAAAAGTTTTAGTTTATTATTTTATATATATATTTATCAATAAAGTATCAGTTTAAGTTAATTGTCAATAAATAAATAAAAAAACACAACATTCTAATGAAACAAGTTTTTTTTATTAGTTATAAATTAAGTTACATAATTTTACAACTTGTTAAAATAATGAAGCAAAAATTGATTAAATGGACCAAAAACAAGCAAAAAAACAAAAGTCAACATGTCAGAATTAAAGCATAAACCATTAAATTGTCAGATTTTGACTGAGCTGCTCAAGACACTGGTTTGGTTTAGGTTGACAGATGTAGAACCTTTTGCTCATTAACTTTTCATAAATGTGTAACACTTAAAAGTCCCCCTTTTGGAAACCCAAAATTTTCAGCCCAAATATTAATACATTCCAATCACTTGGGCCTGTATTTTCTTTTCATGTCATTACATAATGGACTGTCAGGGGGGAGGGAGGACATCTTTACTGGATCAAGAAACCATTGTTACAGTGGGAACGTCTTCCGACTGGCTTTTCCTTCCTTTTGGTGCAGAAAATGCCAAAGATAACCTTTTAAACCTAACTTTTTAATTTATGGATGTACAGCTTAACTCCACCCTTAACCCAGCTTTTATTTGTCAGATGTACAAAGTACAAAGCCTTTAAATAAAAGCCTTGAAGACAGGTCCTTTCAGGATTCAGGTGGCATTCAACGCAGGAACCAAGGTCCAAGTCCTCCCTTTTTCAAAGCTGGGACACTGAAGAATCTTTGTTTCAGGATGACCAGTCACTTGGTTCTCAACTCCCTCGTGGCAATGCTCGCTGATCCTTCCAGCAACAACACCAAAATGTTGTGGAATTTTCTATTGAGACTTATTAATAAAAGATGAGAAAGCAATATCCAGCTTATTTGTATTTTGTTGTTCCTTGCAAGGAGAAAAAGAGACACACATATTCACATTCAGGTAAGCAGCTCTCGCAGCCCAACTTCTTTAGGCTGCTTCCTTTAATACACTGAATTGATTATACACAGTGCCTTACAGTGAACAGTTCAAAAGTCAAGCAGTTAGGTATTAACAAACTTTGAGCAATAACAGGAAAACAGCGGCAACATAAATCATTAAATATTTCATAACACACCCTACTAAGAGCAGTCATCAGGTTTGCAGGTACTCTATACAGTATATAGAAATGTGCGACTACAAGCTGTTTGTCTTACACCTGCTGGTCCAACCAGACACTGTTCAGCTGCACAACTTTATTCTTCAGAGTCAGACAGGTAGGACCTTCCCTTGAAAACTTTAACACCATGATGTTTGCTAATTTTATGCTCCCTGCATTTTATATTTGACAACTTTAGTGTTTTTTTTTAATTTTTTTTTTTAGAAACAGTATATTTTATGATTTTAAAATTATATAGTGAGGGTGCACGATGGCACAGTTGAAGTTGCAGCTTCATCTTAAATACTTTTGCAAACTAATTTTTCCAAACCTGTTTTTGGCTTTGTGAGAACCTTCAGAGGATTAATAAATTGTTCACCAGGGGAATATTGAGCCTGACATTCCTGCTTGGATTTCATTCTGCCTGGACTATTGCAATTCATTACAGATTCACAGTAAATTATTAAGAATTTAACATATGCTGTTTTAAAATTCTTGCAGTCAGACCTGAAAACTGCAGCGATGCCTCCTCCGGGTGTGTGTCAAAGCATCATGGACGCCCGACAAAAACAGGATGGTTATGGGACCCTCACCAACCCGGAGCGGTTCCTCAAACAGGACTACAAGCATCTGAAAGAGTACTGCATGATCAGAAATGTTAAATTCATCGATGAATCGTTTCCCCCGGACAGGAAGTCCATTGGTCCGGAGATCCTGAACCCCACAGACCTGGACCAAGTGGAGTGGCTGAGACCAGAAGTGAGCAAACGTCACATTTAATAATAATCTTTAATCAGCTGGCCATATTTTTGGATCCACATTTCTTTTTGTGTGATTGAGATTTAAACAATATGAAGGAGACTTTTGTCACACACTATTGTTTTCCTGGTTTTTATTTTTCAATACAGTTTTTGCAGTTTTACTAAATGAGCATACTTTGTGCTATTTTAGCCATTCAACCTATTAGCTCATTCAGGAGATGGGTGACTTTGTGAACTTTATGCTTTTAAAAACATTTAACTTCATTTACAAAAAGATTTCCCACAGAAATATATTGAAATTTCTTCAATTCATTCAAAACCATTGTTCTATTTTCAATCTGCTTCAGCATACTGGCTGCTTGTTATTACTTTTAGCTACCATTTTGCTACATTTAACTTTTAGCTAGCCTTTTGCTACTTTTGGCTTATAACTAGCTTTTTGCTGCTTTTAGCGTTTTATGACTTTTAGCTAGACTTTTACTACTTTAGCAACTTTCAGGATAGCCTGCAGAATTCAGCTGATACACAAAATAAACAACATTTCTATAGATTATAGTTCATTTTAATGTTGTAGAGTAACAATTTTCCGTGTCTTTTCTTTACATATTTTTTCTTTTTGTATTTTAATTTATTTCTTAACTGCTGCAAATTTCCTGACAGAGGGAGAAATAAAAATATTTTTTGCATTTTTTCAGAAAATGTCTCCTAATCCAGCCTTTGTTCTTGATGGCGTCTCCAGATTTGACTTCAGTCAAGGATTTCTTGGTAAAATAATATTTCTGGTGTTGATATTTTCAACAGATTGTGCTTAATTTACCTTTTTAAAAAAAAAAAAAAAAATTTTTAAACTTAATTTACAGGAAATTGCTGGTTTCTTGCTTCTATTGGAGCGCTGACATTCCAACGTACCATCTTGCAACAAGTTGTTCCTCTTGAGCAGACGTTTGATAGGAAACATTACTGCGGACTGTTTCATTTCAGGGTAATCATTAACTACACGCCT